CCCAGGACCTCACGCACCCTACCGCTTGAGCTGTGCCCTCCCCTCGTGGCAGCCTTTTGGTTCGGGCGTGTTCATATTTGCACTTAAGCGTGTTGACCTTCCCGCGATGGCTCCTGCTCCTCCTGGTGAACTTCAGAGGGGTCAGCATGGGAGGGCAGGGAGTGCGGGATGTGGGGACAACGGAAGGTGACTCACGTGACAAACACGAGCTTTCTCTGCTGGAGGATGGGGGCCCCCGAAGACAGCTGGTCTCCTACGAGAGGATTAATGCATGGCTGGTGGTTGGGATTATTGGAGAGTTTACGTATCAGAAATTGCAGGGTGGAGAGCCCGTGGGAATTAGCATAATCAGATTTTCTTAATTGCCTCAGGAGAAAAAGGATGAAAGGATGTGAAAAAATAAAGTCTGGGCTCAGACCATGAAGTCGAAGGGCTGTTTCCTCAAGCATTAGAGGATTTGTAAAAGCAGCCAGGATTTCTGGGTCGAGCGTAATATTGGGGTCATCTTTTAGAACGCCTTCACACAAGGGGTACCAGTTTCATCATCTTGGCTTTGAAACTTCGGACGTTTTAATTTATTATATTTCACAGCTTAAACAGTGGTGTCCTTCTAACTGAAAGCATTGAAGTCTGGGGATTAGTGTTCATACAAAAATGAACCAGAAAGTTAGAAAAAAGTTACACTGTAAGAGCTTTAAGAAAGGAAGGGAGGGAGGGATGAAGGAAGAAAGGAAAGAAAAAGAAGGAAAGCAAGCTTTTAATTTTAAAACTCATCTCCTGTGGAGTTGGGGCGCGGTTCCGAAAGAGACAGCCGAGCCCAGAATAAACCCTAGGGGGAGGTTGTAGCTCAGGGGTACAGTACGTGCTTAGCATGCACGAGGTCCTGGGTTCAAGCCCCAGTACCGCCATTAAAACAATAAATAAACCAAATGCCTCCCCCCAATAAAAAACCATTAAGAAAAAGAATGGCAATTAAAAAAAGCAATGAAAAACAAATACAATGAATAAAAATTTTCACCAGCATCTCATGAAAGCAAAATAAAGCTTTCAGATGGAGACAGACAGTTCGTTACTGGCAATTCTCACTAAGAGAATTACTAGACACTGCATTTCCAGAAGAAGACACGGGAGTGGCGGGGGAGGCACGAGGACTGAGACACGTTAACGGGCGGAGAAAGGATACTGTGTTACAACACAGTATTGTTACAACAAGGTTAAAACCCAGACTTTGGATAATGAGACATTGAGAATGTGCATTAAATGTGTCATTAAATCATAATAAGACCTTAGAATGAGAGGAGTGTAAACTAACGTGAACTACATTAGGAAAAAGCGTACTTAGTTACGTATTTTAAATATCTAAATATATGCGTTTCGAAATATTAGGTGCAACTAAGAAATTGACTGTAATTGCTAAAAGACTGTGTGTGTAATTGACGGCTCCAACCTAGCCGAAACAAAATGCAAAGGAATCTGTGTTTCATAAAAACAGCCCACGTCCACCTCAAAAGCAAGGAGACAATAAACAAAGAAAAAAAATAAGGATGTCAGAGAAAATATGATATACCAGGAGTGATTGCAAGGACATTCGAAATAGTTTTAACAGGTTCAAATTAGTAGAAACACAGAATCCTGCACCCAGCAGAGAGACTCTTGATTCTTCTCTGGAATCTATGTAAGTTTTTTTAAAGGTGACCATGTATGGAAAGTTGAGCTAAATTTTAAGTAATCTGTGGCATACATGCCGTGGTCTTTGACCCAGTGTCATAAAGTCAGAGGTCAACGGCAAACTCAAAGCGAAACGTGTAATCACATGAGTAACCTTACTCACTCCTGGTTAAATCACTGGGGAGTATTGGTTGTTCGGGACGGATTGAAAAAGGCGCGAACTACACCTGGGAAGTTATATAAAGCTGCTGAAATGGTTTTCAAGCCTCAATTTCTAATCTTTCAAAGGAGGAAGCATTCAGATGGGAAGGATGAAAATTGAGTAAGGAATCTGGAAGGAAGTCACTACAAAAGTTAAGATCAGAAATTACTGAAATGATGACGTATCGATAAACGGGAACAGAATCAAAAGCCAGGTGTCTTCTAAAATCTACCCAAATCACAGACTCCCAGGAGGAGGGAAGATGTGCGGGAGAACCACGTCAAGTCCGTGTTCGGAGAATTAAAAAAATAAAATGCAAAAAGGACAAACAGCGTCATGCCAGTGAATGTAAAGATGTGAGGGGAAATGGATCATTACTGTATTGCAAAAATATAGAGGCAGATTTGCACTACTAAATGCTGGAGGGCGCACGGAGCAGCAGGAACTCTCGCTGGCTGCTGGTGGGAAATGCAAAACGGTGCAGCCGCTTCGGGAGATGGTTTGATAGGTTCTTAAAACAAACGAAACGTCCTCTTACTATGTGAGACAGTCACACTTCTTGGTATTTGCTCAAATGGGTTGAAAATTTGGCTGTTAAGTCTTCCAAGGATGAGCAAGCCTCACCAACAGCCAAGACAAACTGGGAGATGAATGAGGGGCACCGAGAGGGTGGGGGTGAATCGCACTGTCGAACAGCAGGGCTTCTGGCGAGGCATCACAGCTGGGGAAGCGTGGTACTGGTTCAAGGACAGACAAATAGACATCGAATAAGGAGACGCTCACGTTTGCAGAGACGTCCTGGCTGAGCACCGAGGGCAGAGGGCCCGTGACTGCAGCCCCACTGCCTACGGCCCACCCTCATCAGTTGCAGGTCAGTTACTCGCTAAACGTGAAACATAACATTTTTTTAAAAAATTTTTCTGCTAATAAGAATTAATGAATAGTGAGAATCTCTGTACCTTCAGGCTGAGAAAGGATTTCCTAAAGAAGACTTTGCCCAACCCTCAAGGAAGAACGATGTTTGAGCGCCTTACGTAAAAATTGCCATGCAAACGTAACAGCATACAAAGTGCTCAAAGGTGCACCTCAGCCTGGGGAAAGATGTTTGCAGGGCACGTAACATGTGAAGTATTAGTTTATTTTTTCAAAATTCTCTGGGTAAGAGAAACAATCAAGAGAAAAGTGGGCAAAAAGCATCAGGCAGTTGGCACGCGGGTTTGTGTCTGATGCCGGACACTCGCTTCCCATGAAAAACCGGGAGGCCACCTGAGCTGGAGACCGGGGATCTGGGACGTGGGCCAGAAAGGACGGGTCTCTTTCAAGGGGGTCAGCTCCCCTTTGGTGTCCTCGCGGCCCCCGTGTCTGTGTCCGGCAGTGCCGCACAAAGGCCTGTGCCCTCCTGGGTAGGGGTGCTTGCCCTCTCCGGGGCTGGGGTGTGCACGGCTCACCCTGCCCGTCCTTCCCATCCCCGCCCTGGAGGCTCCACACGCAGCCTCCTCGGAACACAGCATCTGACAAAGACCCAAGTTCTTTCCTCTTTCCTTCACCTGTTGCCGAAACTCAGCCTCTGCACCCCACTTACCGAACTGAGACTCGAGGGCAGGGTTTTGGATGAAGCAGAAAAGGCAGCTGTGTTTCTTTGCAGGCAAAGGAGCTCACAGTGGGCCGATGCCTCCTAGACTGTGAGCCTGCCGGGGAGAGAAGGTGGGGGTTTTGCAGTGAGAGTTCAAGGGGCGGAGCTGGTTTCCGTAGAGATCACATGCAGGGTAACAAATTATTGCAAGATTGTTCTTAATTTTGCAGATGCAATGGTCCCCTTGCTTCCGCCAGGTACGATGTTGGCCTCCGGCTTTGGGACCCTTCTAATGTTCTTGTGTCTGAAACACAGGTGATTAGGAAGGGGGTCTGGGGACAAGTGCGCTAGAGAAAAACGTGTGCCGTTGAAAGTCAGGCCGGTACATGCTTCAGCCCTTTTAGACGGGCTGAGGCAGGGTCTGCACAGGTGGGGACAACAGGATACAAAGAAACCCCAAGGGGCTGAAACTTACTGCAGACGTGCGCGTCTGGGGTGAGCTATGAACGAGATTCACAAAACTCCCCAGCTGCTTCTCCGGGGTGTCGGGAGCAAAACCAGGGAGATGGGCTGATCCCCCGCGTTCTCCCCCTGCTCTCCAGCCCAATCCTGGTCAGCAAAAGCATGCAAAAAACCCTTTAAACGATTACTCAGTTAAGCACTTGCAAATACCATATGTCAACAGTGACAACAGGGTCCTGCTCGGTGACAGACCTTCAGGGGCTCCGAATCCAGACCTGTGAATGTCTTTGATCTGGAATCGGCTGCTTCCTCGCAAGGGCCCTGATGCTCGGAATAAAAACTTTGCTGCGACCTTCCTCGACCTGTTCCTTCTCCCGGGCAAAGAGGATTTAACGCTCTTGTTTTCATGAGCTCATTCCAGACGTAAGCCGCTTATTTCTGTGTGACGGTGGCCGAAAAATGCCTCCCGCATTTCTTAGCAGCCCGCTGCGGGAGGGGTGCGTTTTCTTGGAAAGTGGGCGGTTTTGTAACAAGGTGGAATTACGCTTGATGGCATTTAAAAATACATATTTTTTAATATATAATTTTAAATAGACGTAACGTGAAAGTTACCATCCCACCCGGTTTTGAGTGTACGTTTCAGTGGTGTTCGCTGCATCCACCGTGTTGTGCAATTCTCACCACTGTCTATTTAAAAAAAAAAATTGCATCATCCTGAAGGGAAACTCTGCACCTGTTCAGCAATAATGGCCCCCCGGCTCCTGGTAACCTCTCTTCTTCTCTATGTCTCTGGGAGCTTGCATTTTCAGGGCACCTCAGGC